CTACGACCAAGAAACCCAAACCTACGACCAAGAAACCCAAACCTACGACCAAGAAACCCAAACCTACGACCAAAAAACCCAAACCTACGACCAAGAAACCCAAACCTACGACCAAGAAACCCAAACCTACGGATCCTTCCCCGTCATACACCCCTTCCCCCACGACTGAGCCTTCTTCGACATATGCCCCAAAGCCTACGACTCAACCTTCTTCGACATATGCCCCAACTCCGTCTGGTAACGGTGTCAAGGACCAACTGATTGCCCAAACCAACAAAATTCGAGCGGCCCATGGTATCGGCCCGGTGACTTGGAATGATGAGCTGGAGCCCAAAATGCGGGCTTGGGCCGGAGGTTGCCCTGGCTTTACGCACGGGGGGCCCGCTGGCTGGCAAAACTTGGCCACCTACACCACGTGCGAATCGAGTGGAAAGGACTGCACGAAGGTGGTGGGGGCATCGTGGTTGTGGTACGACCAAGAAGAAACGTTCTGGAACTACGGCAGCAACTCGTGCAACGGGGGCTGGGCCAAGTGCGGCCACTTCTCCAACATGATGAGCCCCGAAGTCACGTCCATGGCGTGCGGGTGGTCCGAATGCGCCAACGGCAACTACGTCTGGTGCAACTACGACACCCCCGTGAAGAACCCCAAGGTGGGCAAAATCACCGGCATGACCAAAGCCGAGCTCAAAGCCAGCTTAACCGCCTAAGCGATTTTCCAGCTCTATATATGTTTATGTACAGTGCAGCAGTAAAAAACAATGTTCTGTTTCACTTCACTCTTTAGAAATGTGTATTGACACGATTTTGTGCCGAGTCGAGGTTTTGCGCCGAAATAATCTAATAACAAGACATGTATCTAGTCTGCACGAAATACTTTTCAATGCTGGACGTGTCGTTGTGGATGAACGACATGGAGAACGAGTTACTGTCCAAGACATGGGTAGCAGAGTCTGAGGATCCGATCAAGGGACTGTCCTGCGGTGTACGTAGGCAGTTTCCCGTTCTCTCCAAAGTAGTCGTCGACAATCTGCTCTAGCCGACCAGCCCGGATTCGATCCAACTTGGGCTGGCGACGAGACCCGCACCATGGTCGTGAGTGCACAGTTGCGGCTTGGCGGGTGGCTTCTTGGGCTGCCGTATTATGATGACGTCGATTTTCTCGTCGGACGAATCCATCAGTTGATTCGACAACTGCATGAGTCGGTCATTTCAACGCATTGTGTGGACTTCGAAATGACCATGCGGCATGGTCATTTCGATATGCATATCTTAACTACTTATACTGTATTAATTTTTGCAGAATTGCAGTTAAAAAGTCAGTGTCACCATGCGAACGAATATCCTTCACACTCAAATTTATTGAATTCAGTGCAGAATATGACACTGAAAAGGACTCAGTCCAGGGTCAAAATCCGTGTTCCGGTGGAGATGCTCTTAGAAGAGTTTATATTTGATTTTTAGGTCTAAAAATGGATATGGGCGCTGGTACAGTAGTGCCTTAAGATAAAATGTGTGAGTTGCCGCTAAAAAGGTTTTTGTCAAAGTGGTTGACATGGCGTCTGTGGTGATTGAATAAAAAGTGATGGCTCCTGTGGTGATATGATTGAGATGTAAAATTGATTTTGTCAAAGTGGTTTAGAGAGGGCTTGTAGTGAGATTTCTATTTTAGGGGTAAATTGCTGATTTTTTAAGGTCCTTGTAACGTGTCATTTCTGTTTTATGTATGATGGAAATTGCTGCCAGGGTGAGCTAGTTGCTGTAAATGAGGTTCAAGTGTAAGAGTTTTTAAGGGATTTTTAGGTCTGAAAATGGATAGGAGAGGGCTAGCTAGTACAGTAGTGCCTTGAGGGGAAATGTGTGAGTTGCCGCTTTCCGGCTTTACTACTGTGCTCGTGCAACAAGTGATCATTCTTTCTCGGTCATTAACCTATTGCTAAAGAATAGGTTAAAGTCAAATTTTTGTTTTTACGGTTGCTATCTTGGCACTATCCGGACTTTTTAGACTTTAGTTGCTATTTTGGCACTATCCGGACTTTTTAGATCCAGACGATAACCCTTATGCCCCTTAAGGTATGGCCCTGGGCTTGCAAGGCTATCACATGATTATCCGACCAAGGATACCACGGACGCAGATTCACGTTATAGAATTAGGTCCCGCAGAATTTCTATTTTCGCATGAAATAGCAACACACCCTCCGGATAGAGCAAGTGTTTCTATTCTATATCCGTAACTTTGAATTGAAATAGAAATAAAGACGCCGTTGGAGATGCTCTAAGAGTATTCCCACCCCTGACGCTAAACCCAACACTCTAAAACCTGGGAGATGCAGGAAATGAACGAAAACTCGCGATTATCTCACATGTCGACTAAGTCTGTCCTTCATGCAACATGCTAACGTTACTTCAAAATATTCACTTCATACGTGAGAACACGAGGATGTTGGGATGCAAGTACAGCGGTGATTATATCAACTTTTTATATAGAAATTTGTATTGAATTGTTTTATCTGGTTTTGAACGTTACATGTGGAAATGCATGATCTTTTTAAAATTGACATGTATACATGCTGCGCTCGCACATGTGCGCATGTGCGGAAAGTCCAAGCGCAGGTGGTCAAATTCTCGGGAGTGACGCATGGAGATGAGCTGAAACTGTGAGATCATGTACTACACATGTGTAGGAAGGTACTGCATGCAATCATTCTTACCTACGTGGAGTACAGAGGACGAAAACGACGACCGTGGAGGACGAATTTGTAGTTTTTCGCGCACATGCGTGCACATGCGCATGAGATGCCGCTATTAATATCTATAGTTAGCTGCCACGGTGCAGGTTGTGATGTGCACATGTGCCGTGTAATAGTGTACAAGTTAGTATGCGTCCCATCTCTCGTCGTTAGTCCTAGCCTGTGTATTCACCCACCAAAGTTCCACATTTTGCTCATGCGCGCATTCGTCGAGTGTCGAATTTTTCTTGCACATGCACATGTACAGTACTACTTGATGAAATGTTTTCTTTCTGATATAGAACGGGTAGCGAACGGATTGTAAATTTCTTTAAATATAAAGGTAAATATATGATCAGGAATTAAATTTCACATCCTATCCGACAGGTGGTTGAGGCAAATACCCGGTTTAACCCTGCAAGTAGCGCAGAATCAGCAGTTTGTCAAACGAGCGATTTGGGAAAGGGACAAAAGGAGTCAGCAAACGGCAATATCCGTTTACATGTTAACGGTAGTGGATCGCAATGTCAAATTTACGGCCTGTTCGTGCATCTCCCAGATATAACAGTAAAGTAGGATCACGTTACATAATTAGCTTTTTCCGTCATATTTCACACCAGTTGCCAAACAGCGATTGAACTCTATTCGCATGGATGGACGACACCAAGAAGTAGAATCGCCAGGATAAAAGTAATTCAGGGCAAAACATGACAACAAAGCAGTGAATGAACTACTACAGTAGCAGGGAAAATCGCTTACAAAGACGCATCCGCAGCAGCACTCCGTTGCGGGGGCTAATGCTGTTGCGACCTAAATTTACAATTGTTTCTACGCTTACATGCACTTGAAAACGAACTGGTACACAACGTTTGCATTGATAGTCTACGCATGCGTTGACAGAAGTTGGCAATAGAGGGAGGGGAGCATGCTCAGTTGGTCGAGAAACCAGTGCCTACGATTTGGATACCGTACACAGGCGAGTGGTTGCAGTGCTGGGGCGACGCGTGTGGGCGCTGGTTCCACGCGACCTGTGTCATCCTCCTCATCCTCCTATCTGTTCAGGCGCCAACTTTCGGTGTGCTTCCTACGAAGATAGCAATAAGGTTAACATCGTCGGTCGACGAGGTCGGCACATGCTGAAGGACGACCAATGCCGGCAGCCATCCTTCACCATACAAGCGTCCCATGCAGTCGTGTAGATGAAACACACAAGGACTCACTCGAACTTAGCATTGAGCGACGCTTTGCGCTATGTGGGGCCACAAGGAACGCACCTACTTGGCCGACAAGGCGTCATGCCATTGCAACCAGGTAATCCTAAACGTTCGGGGGTGTACATGAAAATATATTGCCGGTTGTATGCTCGCCAGAACTCTAACCAATCGGTCAAATCTGACGAATAATCTGACTTTAGCGCACCGGATAGCGTTGACACTAGAATTTAGAGTTCCGTGGTGGGAGAATTCAAACGCTATAATCTCAGTTTTGGAGTTTTAGCGGTACGAGTGGGAATGCTCTAACAGTGTTTCTTACAGAGGAGAATTAATGTACTTCGTAGGACTTAAAATCATGTCGAAATTCGTATTGGTGTTAATGAAAAATGATCTAAAAGAGTGAAAATATCCATAGGCTGAAAGAGTTCCAAGTCACTTGATTTTATCCAACTCTGGAGCCTCATGACGGTGATGCTTCCACGGGGAGCTTTTCGTACGGCTTGGGTCCGGTCTCACCAGGAACATGAAGATACCACCGACCGGCAACTGCAAGCACAACGAGCGGCACTGGAGGCACTGGACACCCTGGCTACGGAGGCCCATCACATTGATTTGCCCCTCCCACAAACACTCCCCATCGTACTCGATAGTTGGCAACTCATCGACCAAAACGGCCACCCGGTCATGGGCAACACACTCTGCTGACGAGGCAACCGGCTCGCCGCGAACAACTGGGCGGAACAACACCAAGCGGCTTACTCCACGGACCGCCGCACAATCCTTCCCATCGGGCTCGAGACGCCGAGGACGTGTGGCTGGAAGAGGAGCCTCACCTGGTTCTACTGGCCGACTATCATGATGACACTACACACCAAAGCAGCGAAACACCGGCCGTTGGGGTTCGCACTGCCGACTCTGCTATGAGAACCCGCGCGACACGGTCCGCCACCGGTTTGGGATCTCGGCACCGACATGCTCTGAATCCGGTCACGTCGACAGCCGTCTCGGGCACCGACTGCATCAAACATGGACGATGAGCTGGCTACCGGACCAGCACATATACCCACCACGGATTGCTCAAGAAATGGCGATTACGTTTAATTTACAGTACCACTGGCCGAGGCGTGGCACGAAAATGCCCGGCAACGGTCCTCCCACGGTACACCATACCAACCTATGATCATGCTCACCCGCTCCTGGCACATGCATGGGCTCCACTCTCCCGACTTACGCATCTTCCGCTCGCCGGTACCTCCACCTGCCAACTTATGTCCCAACTACGGTGGGAAAACATGCAACTCCATGCCGACCAATACGGGTACATCACTCCCCGATGGCTGGGACGTACGGCGCTATGAGCCCAACTCCTTCTGGCATATCGTGATATCTGGCTCGCTCAACAAATGGGCGCGGACCAGCCGGCTACATACAACGGCCCCTGGGACAGATGCAGTACACGGAAGGACGACGCCCCGGCATCAAGTCACCGGTACTGGTGGGTCGATGTTAACTAGTTATCCTACAAGGCTGCATCGACCAATGATGGAGGACACTAGCTAATGAAATCACAACGACGGCTGTAACAGCCGGCCCGTATGCGTACTGGTGTATCTGCTACAAGCGTTCCCCTGGTCACCGAACACTGGACACATTAGGGGCTACATGGCACCTGCACATCCCGGCGGGACAACTACGAATGCGCTACCACTCTACAATTACGTACTCATCGCCGCTGAGGTGGGCCGGGATGACAAATACGAACAAGGTGGACATCCTCCTGGGGTACATTGTGTCACCCGACACTAACACCAGCACGCTATCGACGCCCTGTGCCCAAGAGCTTCAGAAGTGGGGCCAACTGCCGTGGGTCACGAATCCGCCGCGCAACGCCCTTCCCAGCCCCCCACCGGCTTACACCATGCACTTCGCTGGGATGCCGATACCAACGGCGATCCAGAAGATCTGACGTGCCACGACGTCCATAGCTAGACTGCGTCCCAGTTTTCCCTTTATATACAGGGCACCGGCACCATGGCAACGGCTTCCGACTATGACTCACAAAACCCTACAATAGGCCACCGCACTCTCCCTCACCCCACGCCTCGACAATCCCTTTCACCACCGATGGTTCACTACTACACTACATGCGTACTGAACCCACATGTGCCAAGACCAATACCTAGCTACCGAACAGGACGGCGATACCACGCTAGCACAAACGGAACACCGGCATCAAACAGCGACGCCGGGCTCACGACGACACCCCGGCCGCATTAGACACAAACCTACGCAATGCTAAACCCCGCCGGACCCTTACCATAGACACATGGCTTGGGCAGCGGGCACAAGCACTTCTCGGCAGCACCGCCATACCACAGGACCAATGAACCGCTTCACGAACCGCTTCACGAACGCGACGACGCAGACCACCGCGCCGATCCCCGGACAAAAAGCCTGAAGGGCACCAGCCCATATAGTAACAGCGACTGAACAAGTGCCAATGCACACTAACCAAGGCGCCACAGACTGAGGTCGCTGCACGAACCACCCCGGTGTGAACGTGCACAAGCTCCACCCGCTAGATTATCTAGTTCGCGGGCGCTGCTGCCTATGCGCGCGCTCGGACGATAGCGAGCTTGTAAATACCGCGTAATTTTGATTTCAACTTGATTTTATCCAGCTACCTCTCAAACTCAAGCAAAGTTTCAGGTGATTGGTTGAAAATTTCAGATTAATTGTTTCCCACCAATCATGGATCGTGGCACGGAATCTTAGTGCAACATTAACGGGATCAAGTCGCTGCGCGAAATCGATTTGCAACAGTTGCAAATTCACATTGTACGCCACTATGACCAGGTGTTCGTCGCACCTTCAACGTTCTCTGCATCTCCTTGGGGGTGCGCGACCATTCGCAGCGTAGCGGAGGTAGGCTTGCGTCTGATTTTCGTGAGGGGTTCGGTGCATTGCCGGGGGATAGCGATAGCACACCGCTGCGATGCGCCAAACCCCGGAATGACGACTACACTTCGACCTAACTAGGTTCCAGGGCGCCGGGGTTCCGATGTTTCAAGGCTCTTCTTGGGCACGTTCTTCCGTACATACTTCGTTTGTAACGAGGTAATCAGTAATTCTCACCAGCTCACTAGTGCAGCGGCGTCTTTCGATTTCCGATTGAAGTGAAAGACTTCTACGTGTACACAAGCCTCCATAAAAAAGTTGGACCAAATCGGTCCATTTTTTATGCCATAAAACACCTAATTCTCATGAAAATTATGACAGATTAATTTGAAGTATAGAGGCATCCATCCAGACGCACAAAATTACTCTTGGGTGCCTACCCTGGCTGCCATGTACTACGTAGTATTAATAATACCACTCTGTCCCAAATCACTAGACCACTCAACCAATTATTGGGTCACTCACACAGTGCACAGCACATTCGGAATTGACGAAGTGACTTCCGAAATTGTGTCGTATAAAACATTGTGATTGGCTATTTCGTAACTGACACAGTCATTTCCAATCGCTCCAAGTGGTTTCCATTGTGTGAGGTGATATCGTAAAGCACTTTGGTAAGTGTGAAAGACTTGGTAAAAAGTTGTTGATCGAACGTTTTCTATTCAAAAATTCCACTATCGTCACCACTTGGGTAAAATTCAGTGTCCGAATCGAAGTAGGCATTTTCACCACTCGGCAAAAACGTGCCCAAACGCAACTTGCGCTTCTCGCGATGTTTTTTAACTGCAACGGCATGCTTGGCTTTCTTCTTTGCACTCGAAGACATGAGGGCGTTCAAATACCGGTTGCGTTCATGGCTGTCGTCGACCCGCAAGGGAGAAAAACGAATGTGACAATTAGTGAACGCAACACAAGTTTGAAGGTAGAGATCGTAGTTCTCTCGCTTCCACGTGTAGGACTCGTTTACGATCGCCCACAGCGTCTTCAAACGACCGAAGTAGTTCTCAACGATCACGCGGTCGGTAGCAATGTTGTCGTTGTACTCCATGTCGCTCATAGTGAGCAAGCCGCCAGGGGGCCGTTTCGCCGGGGTGATAGCACGCATGCGACGGTGGAGCCCTTGGTACCCCTTGTCAGCCAAAATGGCCCAGTCGTTGGGGTACTCGTCGAGCATAGGGCCTGCATCGGGCATGTCGCGTTCGGCATCGGTCTTGCGCATCTTGTCCGCGTGGAAGGCCTCGTTGGCCTCGAAGATGCTGAAGTCGGCGACGCTCCCGGGTACAGCTGCCGTGACGTTGATGGCAAATCCAGTGGGTACGACGCTCGCTTCAACCTTCAGCCCATAATGACCGTGCTTCTTGCTGTAGTACATCTTCTTCTCGCTGAACGTCCCCGCCGGTGCATTGGTCTTTTGGAAGGTCACGTCCACAGCGTAGAGCGCTGCCGGAAAGTTGGCGAAGCGCTGGCCCGTCGAGGTGAGGTGCTCCATGGTCCACTTGGCGCCAACGTTGTCGATGTACTTGGTCTTGAGGTGCGGATGGATGGCCTCGAGGAAGGTGATGACCCGCTTCGAGAACGTAGGCGAGGCTGCAGCGAACATGGTGGCGACGACGTCCCATGTGCCGCAGTGCTTCATGGACGTGACGGTCATGAAGAGCATGTCCCGTCCGGTAACATCGCACTTGCGACCCGACCCATCAAAGAATTTTTTTGAAATGAATGGCTCGTGGAGCCTCTCTGACGCGTTTGCGCGCCAATATCAGTATCGATTTTGATGGACTTGGCGGCCTT